TTTAAATCACAGCCGTCATACTTGTTGACACAATTTAGGACTTGCTTCTTTTGCAGTCAATTCATTAACACTTTTTTTTTTGTCTATGTAAAAGTTTTCTATCATTTCTTAATCTACAAAAGAAGGGACAAAAAGTTCTGTTATCCAATTATTTTTTCTCTGTAATATATGTTCTCAACTAGCTTAATTTTTTATTTTTTTAAAAAAATAAAGTTCAAATTATTTGACAAAAAGTTGGATTTACTTGTTCTAGTTTATTTGGCACATTCTTTTTAAAAAATGACTAACTTTGCATTTGATATTGTATTCATAATAAAAAGATTTTATAATTTCACGAATGCTATGACAAACATGTTTAGGGTCAACGCAAATATTGTACAAGTTTTAAATATCTCATTTATATTTTTTCTAGTCTTGATTCAAACTGTGTCACATAAATTGTTATGGAGACTAATACTTTGTGCGTTCAACAATAGTTGTCCAGTTTATTATTTTGGGATGTCCAATAATGTTTGTCCATTTTATGAAATTTAATGGATAATCTCACAGTTGGTTCCTAATTTACCTTATCATAATTATAGTCATTTCTTTATTGTATTTTTCAATACATTATATTTATTAGTGTATTCAAAGGGTGATATAATGAAATTCTTAGTTTATTTATAGTTTCTTAATGAGTGTGCAAAGTCAATAGTAGATAGATATTGTTGAAAAAAAAGAGAGTATCAAGTAAGGAAAGATGTGTTAGGTGCTATCTCCAAGATGTGACCTAATGATCAGTAAATTTAATTGAGAATCATGAACTCTTAGGTTTAAATCCTACTAGAGCCAAAAAATACGAGTTATTTCTTTTCATCTATTCTATCTCTTTGTGGATAGAGTGACGTGATAGTTATTACACCCACAGTACCTTATATCTTATAAAATTAAATAAGTTACACGAAAACTGACTAAAACACCAAGATCCTTAAAAAAAAAAAAAGCGTTGTAAGAAAAAATAGTATGCAATGTGCAAGGCCATATGTCCTTTTCAAGGTACACTTATTTTCGTTAATTGATTAGTTTATTACAAAAAGTACTATATGTAGGTTTGACAATGTAACATTTTGAATAATAAATGCTAAATTTTTTATTTTTTTAATTTTTGTTTCTTATGTTGTGCCAAACCACATGGAGTGGTGAATTGTAATAGAGAACCAAATGTAACCGACAACAGTGACATGGGCGCGCATATTTTGTTATTGGCTTTACGTTGCCGCTAAAATGAAATGTTGTCATCTATCTTACGTTGCCTATCTATTTCATTATACTAGTTAACCTTAGTCATGCCAAAATTCAATTGCTTTACTATGAAAGTAGAGGAAAATAAGGAATTGGTTTAGCCAGCTAAATTTGTTTTTATTGTTGTGTGTTTATGTAACTTGTCCCTATCATGTTTGAATGGTTGGTTCAACCAATTTTTACCATGATTATTCTATCTTATGATATGTATATGCCTTTATTCCTTTAAAGTTCTCAATTTTTCTTTTTGTAGCTTTAGGTCATGTTTGTTTTTTCTTCCCCACCCTTGGAGTAAGAAAAAAGTGACGTCTTAGTAATTTCGATCACTTTTTTTCTATTGATTTCAACAAAAATCAACGTATTTGATTAACGCTAGCTGAAGTTTGAATTCAATTTTTTTTGGAGGAGTCTGATTCACCCTCTATCACATTTTGATTTATCTTTGTTCAATTCAATGTCATATTTTTCGATTTACCTTAGACTTTTTTTTAAATTATGTTTTACTTTGATCATTAATGAATTATAAAGTTCCAAAGCTCAATGATTGGTCCCACCAACAGTAGAAAGTCTTTTGTTAGTTAGGTTTGACTTTTGTATTTATTAGAATTAGGATCAGTATCAACACTATCTTTTGAGTCGATCATGTAAGATATGATTAACAATAAGTAGATAAAATATAGAAGAAATATGTTAGTCAATTTTTCTTTCAATGTTAAGATAACCCTATTGTTTTTAGTAATATTTTGTTTTGTTTTCCATCTAGTCAACTTTATAATATAACTTCGTACAAACAAATACAGAGAACCATATTATGGCAATTTTTGAAAAATATCTGAAGTTCATATGGGTGTAAAATAGGGGTCAACTTTTTTTAAAAAAAATAGTATAATGCAAATTAATAGTACTATGTCTTCTTCAACCTTAATAGTAGCAGTCTGACATTGACACAATAGCCGGCAATAGTTGGTATATCCAAGCCTTCATAAATTGGGCTGGGCTGAATTTGGAGCAAGTCCATAAAACTCTTAACTTTGTTTATTGTAAGAGGAAAACGATTAAAAATTGGGGAACTTTCACATATATTTACTAAAAATAATTACTCTCCATAGCTATACTTTTCGTAGCTATATGTTATAGGGAGGAGAGAAGAGAGCGAGATTTGGATAGAGAGGAGAGAGGCAAGAGAGAGGGAAAAAAGTGGGAGAAGAGTAAATTGTATATGTATATTTGTTAAATAATTGTGTATTATACATATGTAATTGTATATATGGCAAGCGAGATTGGGAGAGAGAGGAGAGAGGCGAGCGAGAGAGGACAGAGAGTGAGACAGAGGTGAATTGTATATGTATATTGGTTAGATAATTGTATATTATACGTATCTATTTGTATAAAAAGCAAGCGAGATTGGGAGAGAGATGGGAGAGGCAAGAGAGGTTGAGAGAGGGAGGACACAGGCAAGCGAGAGAGGGAAGCAATCAGGAGAGATGAATTGTATATGTATATCGATTTGATAATTGTATATTATACATATGTATTTGTATATTCTGATAAATTATACATATACAAATGTGGCTAATTATATAAACTCAAAGTCAGTCCACATAATTAATGTTTAATGTTAGTCGTGAGTGATAATTATAGCAAACTGTAGTTGTGATGAGTAATTAAGTAGTATAAGTTTGCTTAACCGCGTAATTTTCTCTTTAAAGTACCCTAAACTATAAGAAACCGTTAAAAAATATCTTGTTTTCACTTATTTTGCTAAAAATATCCTTATATTCATCTTTTTTTGTTAACTTATATGCTTTTTGAGTCACACTTTATCTTAACAAGGTCTAATACCCTAACACAAAATTTTATACTTCTTTGCATTTATTAAATTCAATTCAATTAGTTGTTGTGATATACATGTGCCTTTTTATGTATATATATTTTTTGTTTAATTTTTTTTAAAAAAAACATTTTTCTTTGTCTTGTATTTCAATAAATTTATACACGTATTTTTTTTCTTTGCTATATTTAAATTTTGTCAAATACACACAACTTTATATAGTTTGTTCGTCTTATTTAAAAAAAATTCTCAAACGCTTATTATTATTATTATTATTTGCCTTCTTTTATTTTTTTTTTCAATTGATTTTATTGATTCCTTGTATTCAACCATATATGCAGTAGTGGTTAGTTTGTTGCTATTGTTTAGGAGTTAAATATGTTATTTCATGGTCCCTAGGCTACAAGATTAGTGTAGTTTGTTTAGATCAGAATAATTAGGAGGAATTTTTGCGTTTGTTATTAATAGTTTTTAAAAAAACAATCTATTTAAGAACTTTTAATTGAGAAATAAAAAGCACTTCCACTTGCATATCATTTCCCTTTGATTAATGTTACATCGGGAAGATGAAATCCTTCTATTTTTTGACGAACTATTTCAAGAAACATATGTACTTCAATCACTTGCAATACATTCTTTTGTTCCACCAAAAGATTTCTTCGCAGAATTGAATGGCTTGATCCAAAATCAGAAACTTGACCATTCTGTGAAGTTAAATGAATCACTTCGAAAATCATATTTAGCTCAACAATACACCCATTTGTTATTTGTTGTCGATCACTGCTTAGATCTATCACCTCAATAGTTGAATATCCGATCTCCTCAATTTCAACACCTTCACCAAGTTGTTGCACAATTTTCATAAATGTGAAGTTGTGACATGAAGATCCATTTGTACAGCTAGCTTCCATAAATGTGGCATAAAGATCCATCCGTCCAATTTTTGTTCTTCGCCTAATAATCTTATTAGTAACACTTACTTTGACTTTTCCTTTGTTAATCTCCTTCATGCTTTTGTTAATAGGTACATAGCAAAACAGATAAAACCTAAACCCTTACTATGTATTGTAATTTTTCTAACCCTAAATATTTTGAGTAATACAAAAGTATATTTGCTGTCTTTTCCTTGATGTTTATAAATGGTTATTTGATTAAACGTCATTGTATTTGTAAATAAAGTTTGAGAATACATTATAATTTCAAAAATTGCTTATTTAGACTTTGAAGAACAAATGTGACAACCAATTTAATAAGTCTTCTAAAAATTGCGGAAACAATATATGGTGAAGGAATTAAGACAATTGTGAGTTGAGTTTGTCGCATAGGCTTAACTAGTGCATATACATTTTCTGTATGATTTGCAAACTATCATCTAGTAAAAAATCTATTCGATACACATGCTCACCCAAAAAATAAAGACCGTGACAGAAGTTATAACGATTCCAGATCACCTTGTGGTTCCAAAAAAGACTACTCAATATTCCAATTTCTTATAATGGAAAGGTGAATGACATAAGTCATAACTATACATACAAAAAATGGTTGTAAATACATGCACCTAGCTATTTAATTTAAATAAAACAAAATTAATTCCTTATATAATCACTTAATTTATTCGTATTACTTTGTAAAGTAATATTTAGTTCGTTTCATTTTATATGTTATTTTTTTGAATTTCAAGATTTAAATAAATTTATTTTTGATCCTTAATTTTTCATAAAATTTTTAAACATTTTGAATTATTAATTATTATGATTTATAATACTTACGTGGTTAAAAAATATATAAATTTCTTTTTTAAAAAAATTAAAGATTTTATATGTAAATTTCTGATGAACTTAAATTATTTGGCGAAAAAAAATAATTCACATATAAAAGGAGTATATGTTTTTCTCATTCCACTTGTGCGTGTATTTTAGATGTATTAATAGAGACAACTTAAGCTTTTACATATTTTGTTCGACGAGAGCTGAAAAAGAACACATACAAAATAAGCGGCGAAGTAGACGATTCTCTGTGGCATTTCGTCGAACAGTCTATGTACAAGATGAAGAACCACCCTCTGCTCTCCATTGCTATCCCACTAAGCCTCGGAATATGCCTCCCAATCTCTTCATCGGCAATGGCCGCCAGTACGGTAACGTTTTCTTCAATGAGAAATTACAATCTTGTCCCTGAAGTTCCTTCTTGGAATGGTCTCTTGCATCATTTCAATTCTTCCGGCCTGGTTGATCAGGGGATTCTCCTTTATTCTCATATGCGCTCTTGTGTAGTAACTAGTTAATTTTCCACTTAGGGTGAAAAACAAGTTTCTTGAAAATGAGTAAAATGACTTTCGTACCACACACCCTTTAATGTATTTCTAATAGCCCCTAATCAGCAAATCAAATATTTGTTTTATCAAAATTCAATGGATTTAATGTTATGCTATGATTTATTTTATTAATCTGCTTTTTATTCTTAAATCAATATATGTCTATGCAGAAAACCAGTGAACAAAATTAGCAAGTGGTAAAACAAGGAATGGAACATATTTGTGTTAGGAAATCCATCAGAGCACTATCTCTTTTTTTTTATAATCCTTTCTTCAGTAACACAATTTGATTTCCTCTGGTAGAGAAATCCAACCACCAGAAAAGAAACAAAATCTTCAGGAACTTTGGAAATTTGCTCGACAAATAGAAAATGGGTTGGTGATGTCTCTACTGAATGGAATGTGTATACTAACTCTAATTTTTAACTCATAGAACAGAAGACTGTGAAATAAAAATTGAAAGTCAGAGCTTGTTAACTTGTATGTAGGAAAAGGTGAAAGAATTTGTTGCAGAGCAAGTTCAACAATCGGAAGAGGGAATTTCTACGGACTGCATTGTTAGTGGTGCCTTTATGAAAATTGTTGGAAAAGAGCAAGAATTTTGCTATGGTTAAGGATTGGGAACAAAGCCAACAAGTAGGAGATCCACACATAGAATTTACAAGCAATTATAAGCACAAAAGGGAGCTAGGAAAAGCATGTCATTAACGAGAGAGTATAGGACCCTATGGAAGTAGAAAATTAACTTGTGGAGAAATGGAAGAAGTCATGAAAGCTCGTCTTGAACGGGCAAAAATGTGAAGAGAGTATCATGGCACTATTTTCCCATATTCAGAGTTCAAGGTATATTATTTGGTACAACTTTCAGTTATTCACTGTTAATTGTTAGAAGATTTTGATGAAACAACAAGAAATAGAATTAAACAGTATTGCTTTATATTGTTATGATAACAACTAAATTTAAGACTAGTAGTAAAATGTATCTGAAGGGGGCTCTCGGCTTAGATTCACACTTTCTTTTGTCTTTCCTCGAAAAGCCATTTACAGTCTTCTGTGAGTCCCTAATTGTGGTAGTAACAGACCATTTGTTGAGTGAATAGCTGCAGGGGCATGACAAATTAAATGTACTATCAAATATGTTCAGGAGAGTTACAGAAAGTGGCATGCTGTTTTCATTTATGCACTTATTTTCCTATTTATTTACACTCAAGTGCTTACACTGTCTAGTTTTGAATTTTAGTGTTTTCATTGCGCTTATTTCCTATATATCAACCTTTTTTTAGTGTTATGTTACACTGTTAATTTCAATTCTACTGACGTTTGGTTCTGCAAATGCTCACTCCAAATAAGAAGCCAAGAAGATACCCAAGTTAGCAACTACAGTGGTAACGGGCAAAAAAACTGAGCTCGATCCATGAGAAATCCTTACCAGGGACCTTAGATCAACTAGAGACCCTTTTAGAGAGCTTATAGGTGAGATGGGTGAAGAAAATAATGACAGAAGGCCTTTGAATTGCGTTAAAAGCTTTTAAAAAGCTTCTGCCGACTTAAATCTACAGATGGACTCTCGGTCGTCAATAATTCATAGTCGTGGATCTCCTTGTGGATCAATCCGCGTCCCATAAATCCCACCTTATGTTGGGGGTTGTCCAGAACTTGATTTTCACCCCTTCAAAACTTTTTCACGACCCAATTCACATGCTGTACTTCAACTCACGACCATGCTTTGGCTCGTCGATTGCCTCAACACTGAGCACGGTGTGGTAAAATGGGTATAACTTTTTACTCCAAAGTCTGATGGATGCACAGTTTGGCTTGCTGGAAATTTGACTCATAGGACTTTCTTTTATAGGTAACTCAGCCTCTAGATCCCCATATGCTGGAAGATATGCTTGTTAAAAGTCAGTCCATACTTGGTACCACTTGAAATACTCCACCATAGTCCTATTTAACTTCAGCTTTTGTTCTAGGGCTACCTTTGGTCTCTAACTAAGTCTAAATTCTTTAACTGACTTATTATAAGGGTTCCTTGGTATACTTACCCATTTTCAACTTTTGTCTTCGGATATTAAACCGACTTGTTGGCGTTTACAACTCGGAATTCGTACTAGAAAATATGGAGTGGTACATTGATCTTACAGAACTGGATATGGAATCTATCTCTCTAGATGAAAGAGACTGACTGTAAAGAAAATTTGAAGAGGAGGATATTCATGCTACCATCAAGGCTTCTGCACCTGACAAGGCTTCAGGCCCTGACGGATTTACAATGGCCTTTTTTCGGAAGGCATGGGAAGTCATTAAATATGAAGTAATCGGGGCCCTAAATCACTTTCACCATAACTGTCATATGGTCAAGTTCTATAATGCTTCCTTTATTGCCCTTATTCCTAAAAAGAAAGGGGCAATAGAATTAAAAGATTACAAACTAGTCTTATTGGGAGAGTGTACAAGTTAATAGCAAAGATTCTTGTGGAGAGACTTGAATCTGTAATTGGGAAGCTGGTCTCAGTCTACGAAAATGCATTTGTTAAGGGTAGAAAAATCTCGGATGGTGTTGTATTGATAGCAAATGAGTGCTGAATTGGAAGTAGAAATCAGGAGACGCAGGGTTGTTGGTTAAACTTGACATAGAGAAAGCTTTTGACAAGCTTAATTGGGCCTATCTGTTCGCAATCTTGAGAATGATGGGATTTGGGAATAGGTGGATCGAAGACAGTCTGACAATGGTAAAATATTCTGTGCTCATTAACAAGGGGGCCTGCAAGTTTTTTCTCTCCTCAAAAAGGACTAAGGCAGGGAGACTCCCTCTCTCCCTTTCTTTTCATCCTTGCTATGGAAGAACTTACTAACATGCTCCAAAAAGCATGTCAACCACAATTGATTGAAGGCTTCAAAGTAGGCAGTCCCCCAGGAAACAATGTCACAGTTTCACATCTGCTTTATGCGGATGATACTCTGCTATTTTGTGGGGCAGATAGATCACAAGTTATTATAAGCTAAACTTGATTTTGCACATTTTTGAAGCTGTACACTGGACTACACACAAATATGTCAAAAAACACTATCTATCCCATAAACTCAGTGCAGAATCTGGTAGAGCTAGCAGGAATCATGTGCTGCAACATAGGGTCCTTTTCAACAACTTATCTTGGGTTGCCTTTAGGTGCAAATTTCAAGGCTAACAAGATATAGTTGGGAATAATTGAGAAGTTCGAAAAAAGACTAGCAACATGGCAAATGCACTATCTTTCTTTTGGAGGAAGAGTTACATTGATTAATAGTGTATGGACAACATCCTTGCATATCTTATATCCCTTTTCCCTATTCTTTGCATCTCGAAAAGCTCGACAAAATGAGAAAGAATTTTCTATGGGAAGGCAACATCAAGGATCATAAGTTTCACTTGGTTAAATGGGCAAAAGTGACACAACCTAAATCTCAAGACGGTTTGGGTATCAAAGACCTTGCAGCTCACAATAAAAGCATGATGATGAAATGGCTATGGAGGTACAAAGTTGAAGACTTTGGATTGTGTAAAAAGGTGATCAAAGCTAAACATGGTGAGCTTACTCACTGGTCTACTCAAGTCTCAGCAGATGCATATGGAGTTGGTGCAATGAAAAGGATTAGTAAACTTTGGCCAAATTTTGCTGGGAACATCATATTTAGAGTTGGCAATGGATCTCACATCAAATTTTGGTAGACATATGATTTTGAGACAACTTTGGGTGAGGAATTTCCAAGTTTGCGCCTCATTGCAACTGAACCAAATTCTACCGTAGCATCCAACAGATCAGACGACATTTGGGACCTAAGGTTCAGGAGAAACCTAAATGACTGGGACTTAATGAAATATTTGGTCTCTTTGCCAAATTGAAGTCTTGCTCCTTTTCGCCTTAAGAGCCTCATAGATTGAAATGGGGTAACTCAAGAAATGGTCACTACACAGCAAAGGAAGGATAACACAGTTTATGCTCAAGGAACTCAATAATTGACAAATGACCATGGAAGCATATATGGAAGACAAAATTACCTACCAAAGTGATCTGTTTCAGCTGGACTGCACTGCATAACTCATGCCCCACACAGGATAATCTCTCCAAAAGGAAACCGATGTTATTCCTGCCACAAGCACTCAGAAAGTGTCAACCATTTGCTAGACCTCTGGAATATGTTTTGTTGCTTTTTTGGTCTTTCCTAGGTCATGTTTTTCTCTATTAGGGATGCTCTTGAAAGTTGGAGTTCTCGGGAAGTTGACAAATCCATCAAGAGTATGACGATGATAATCCCCGGTGCTATCTTTTGGTGTTTATGGACAAAGAGGAACAAGATGTTTATATTGGATTTTCAACTTCTAGAAATCTTTTGCGATGCAGATGTCTAGTTAGCCTTTTTGGTTGGTCCAAATTGACCTCTGTAAATAATTTAGAACTCTTCCTGATTTTGTTAGCTCTATAGCTTAGGAAGAGGCTACAAATCCTTTTTTTGTGAGCTTAAATGCTCTATCCTTTAAAAAAAAAAGAACTGACAAGGCAACTTGTCTGCACAACTAACGTGAAGATATGTTCCACAAAAATAAGATCTTTAGAGGAGATGACATAGATGTTCAAGCTTATAAATGCACTAGTGAGCGCATGGCAAAATTTTCAGGTTATAGTGTTCGTAATTGTAGTTGACTAGTGTCATCATAACAATGAACTTGTCCCTCCCTCTTTTTCTCATTTCTTAGAGCAGGTTAGATTATCCTGAGGCGATCAGGTAACAGTCCACATTTTGGTTTACAAAGCCTATAAAATATATATTTCCATAAATTTAAAACAACTTTATTAGGATATACGAAGACAATCCTAAAGTGTAGTAGGTTTTTTCTTTTCATTTTCTCTTAGATTAATTTCTACAACTTTCCTCCAATTTTTTTGTCAAAACGAAATTCAAAGCCTACATTAACTTTATCTGTTGTTATACTAATTATGTTTACTTGAAATGCAGTCCTCCATTTGAGCCATATGATCCAAGGTATGCTGCCATGGGTCTACCCTTGGATCCTTACTTGCGTGCATTCAAGCTGAACCCCAACTTAGGGTAAGTTATTTTTGTTTTTAATAACTTCGTATAGAATTATAATAAAAAGGAAGAACAAAAAGGAACTAGCCTTGTGACTGTCAACTGATTATATCTGTATCCTTCGTATTGCAGCATCGCCAAGCCCAACGTGCGATGAAAAAGACTCAAGATCACCAGGTAATTCAGTGTCTTGTAGCAGAAGGGGAAAATACTAGTATACTATGGAACATTCTCATTCGTCTTTTTTTTTTCTCGTCTTTTGTTATGGATCTTGCTGTGATCTGTTACCCCTTTCAATTCCGTCTTTTGTTATGGATCTTGCTGTAATCTGTTACCCCTTTCAATTCCATAAACAGAAAAAAATGTCTGAACTTTTTCATGGAAGTTTAGGTTTTGCGGTTTTGTTGTCAAATTCAGGCTATCAGTAGACTACATTTCTTTATTCAATTCTTACGATTTAATGCTAAACCATGTTTCTTATTCAACATTGTTGTTATGATTTACCTTATACTTGATGTCCTTTAGGAATATGAAAATTCACAATATTTGTCCTTTGTTAGTAGTTTGGTTCATTCATACAGGTTTGTGGCTGGCATAATTAGACATTTGGAGTAATATTGAAGTCATCTTTCGTGTTTATTTCTCTCAATTATTTATGACGTGTTTCGTTGTTAAAAAAAAAAGAAAAAGTCTCCTAGTTTTTCGTATGTATATGTTATTGAAACAATTGGTAAGTTTGTTGTGTTATTGAAATAATGGTATTTGGTGGTTTCATGGGATGTAAATGCATGTTTAAGAATTTAATTTCTTCTTCAATATGAATGATTTACAATGTAACTCTACAATGACTATTCTAGCGATTAATAAAGTGGACTGAGAATTATGAGGTCTAAGATTGGTCGAGGCGTATGAAATAATGCATATTGGTTCCAACAGTATAATTATAATAGATAAGCAAATGAGATATTTGTTTTCCCAGTCCATTGTCATTGTGACCCAAAAGAAAACCCAGTCCAATTTCTTGAATATTCCTTTTTATCATGTTTCTCCAACATTATCTTACCCATAAGGGTTCGATAGAAATTCCAGGCAACATACTTATATCTAGACTTTTTGATTTAAATTGCATAAAATAAGATTTTAAGTTGCTATAAAATACAGTTTATGTAACTTCTTAAATTGGTGAAAAATTTTCTTACAATTTGATCAGAAGTATAGCATAATTACGGCTACGAATTAAATTGAACTGTCCTTTTCATTAGTGTTCTAATTATACTTTGTCAATTTTCTGTGAACTAATAGATTTTTTTAGCCCAGTTAAGTAACAATAAATATATGATTTGGTGAGAACAAATATTATAAATTAATTTCATATTCTTGAAGAACGTTTTGCACCCTTTTTCCCATGAATGCGTATTGCATTAACCAGCCCAAAAATTCTCTTGACTAAAAATCTTTTGAACTCATCTAAGACTGAGGATAAATGACGCTTGTTGTATGAGAGACGAATTCAGGATTCGAAGACTTTGATACATCTATATGAAAATAGCTTAAATATGAGGTTTGAGCTAAACTTAAAATAAAAATAATAAAAATAAGCTTTGGTAGGATTCAAACCCTGGTGAAATTGCTATGTTTTTTATGGGTGCATTGTTAATTATATTCTAGTTTCTACCAGTTTTTCAAAATAAATTTACATATATACATGTAATTTGTTCAAAAGTTAGTGGATACACGTGTGATCCACGGTAGTTTTTAGATGTAGATTCAAACTTGTTAGAAGACAACCTTAGCACAAGCGGATTCAAATGTGTTGGTGTTAGATCTACTTAGCAATGGATTGGTTGACTGTTTGAAGGCCCATCAAAATCATGAGCCAGCTCACCCTCTCCCGTCAAATTTCAAAGCTCATATATGTAAATTTCAGTGAACTATTAAAGCTATCAGTATTATTGATCAGATAATTGTCAAGGATTTTTAATACACTTTTTTTATTTTCGAATTAGCTTGCGACAAATTTTAATATTAATATGAGTTCATTGATCGTATAAAGCGATCTATTTTGATGACGAATTTCAGAAATTGAAATTAATCGTTCGCTCATGTTGGATCAGCCACAGCGAGAAATAACTTCATCTAATTAAACACAAAATGTTACTACTTAAAAATACATTTAATTAAAATTTGCTGGATATAGTTGTACAGTTTTTGTTTTTTTTAATCTGAGTTGGACACTACGGATAAAGATGGGTTATTTCCAGAATAATCGTAAGGATTGAAATAGACATATTATTCCCCAACTGCCAATTATTTTGCATGTGGTTGAAAATAAGTTGACGGATTTCTTTCTATTTTTATAATTAACAACTTGCACGATGCATTTGTTTTTCTTTTTTTAAAAATCTCTCTGGCAATGTAATCTTTGAGTGCATGTGATCCGGTTAGAAGAGACTTGCGTAAGCAGAATTTTAACTTTATAAATTTAAAATTTTAAAATATTTTGTTTCAGTGAGTTTTTGATAATATATATATATATATATGTATATATATATATATATACAAGTAAATTAACCTTTTAAATATGAATACAGTATATAATGAAAATTCTTGAATTTTCTTTTCTCTTTATATATATATATATATATATATATATATATAACAGGAAATTTGGTGTAGTCTCATCTTTTCAATTAAAGAAAGACTGTCCAAACTTCATTCCCCTACAAGTCATGTGCTTAATATTATAACAAATGGGACATACAAATTATGTTGATACTACCTATACTAGTCTAGAAGACATGCATATTAATTAATGAACATGCTACTTTTTATTCTTTTTAGTTCTTCGATCGATCATCCATGCAATAGGCAACCACAGGCTCATTAGTGCTTACTATATGTAAATTGTACAGTTAATGATGAAGATCAATTACTAGGGCGTACGTGTCTTTGAATTTAGTTTTAGCTAATATCTATTTTCTCTAATTTTAAATATTTATATTTAAAATTGAATAACATAAATTTCTATCATTAAACGGGCACATATAATGATTTGAAATTTGTCTCTTTTTTTTTCTAGGTCAAATTTGACGGTGCAAGATGTGTCAAAATTTGTCTTCAGTAGGATTTGATTTTCACAGTAATTTAATTGTTTTTTTCTTTTTTTGAGTGGGGCTCATTGTAATATTATTCAAATAATATGAGATATGGAATCTATCCTCCAGCACATAAAATTAGTTTAGAGATATTTCAATTGCAAGTTTTCTTTTTTTCCCCTCACACACACATATATATACACAAAACCATTGTATGGTTTTGTCAAGGGGTGTGCATTTATATTTCGATTTTGATAAATAGGCATATGTTTAAGTTCAATTTGTATATTTGAGTTGATGAGTAAGAAAATGCTAAGGTTTTGAGCTATTAGTGTTAAATATTATAATAACAGGAAAACTAGCTAGGCATACTATCTTTCAATGACATAATCAAACATCTCATATTCACGAGACAAAATGATACATGGATTGAAAAATATGAAGAAAACAAAAATGTGTTGTCAATTTAACCAAACAGAAATAAAAAAACATTTTGATGTTTTAGCATATGATATGTTTGATATTGACGAAATTTCTTTTGTGTAATTTTGGTATTTTGAAATTAAAATCTTTAGAAAATTATTTTATATTTTTAAAAATTTAGATACCAAAAAAAAACATAGGTTTTGTTGTTTATTCTACACCAATATGCCTTTTTCTTTCTCTCTTAAAATTAATAAAGTGCCCATCTCAAAGTTTGAAGGTTATATTTCTAGATTTTGAGGTGTTATAACTTATAGGAGTAACGATTAACATAGATTGTACTGCATTGATTGATCCTTAATTAAAGATTTTGAATATAAAAAGAGTCATGTTGCAGGCTCTATCTCAGAATGAGTCCTGCCGAGTGTGATTAAAACTTTATCAAAGTTTCATTTGAATTTCGAATATCAAAATAAATAAATAAAAAGTTATAGGGGTAACGAGGATAATGAAATTAGTGACAGAGGTGCACTATATATTTAATTTGTTAATTCCTTGTGACGACAGAATCAAATATATATCCAATAACATTAAACAATTTGATATCAGCTACAACTAAAATAGTCAGTTGTCCATATGGTATGATATGATACTTGACCACCCATTTGGTCCATCAATCATGTTATACTGTCTCTACCTATTCATCTTACTTTTTTATTAGAAAAAAAAATATATTTATTCCAAAAAATATATTTTCTTTGGATCTTTAATTATTGGAGTTGGGCTTGGAATATAATTCCATTATATCCCAGATAAGAGAAAAAAATAAATTAAACAATAAATTGAAAAAAATAAATAGGAAATCAATTGGTTTAGATACCTGTCTATGATATTATGCCTCCATAGCGCTGTTATATGCCAAATCAGAATTAGCAAACTAATTCTGGCGGTGAAAAAAAATTATTTCCGTTTTAAAATTAATTTAAGAAATAGTTTGAAATGCTTAATATATGTTAACATTATTTTTCTAAATTTGGAAAGTATGAATTAACATTAACTTGAGATTAAATAGATATATATTTCAAACTCAGAATAATTTATTACTAACAATGCTGTCCTTCCGAATGATACAATTAGTTTGGAGGATAATCCCATTCACAATCTCACTTTAATGCGTTCTAAGTCAACTTTATCGCATAGAAATTAGCTAATTCAATTTTAGTTAGTATACACAAAATGTTCAAAAGTTATAATGACGACAAATAATTACTTGATTATTTTTATTTTTAAAAAAGATTTAACACTGTTTTATCTAATACTGTCTTGGACCACCGGAAAAGACATATTTCTGATGTATTGACACACTACTCAGCAACCAAAATTAGGTGTACGTAGCCTAATAACGTTAGAAGACTTAAGGTCAAAGGTTTTGTGTGATTATTACATATGATCGAAAAAAATACAGCTATCATTTGAAAAATAAAAAATATTTCAGTATACCTAATATTTTTTGAATTGTCTATTCGGCATATAAAGTTCACTTAAAAGTTATAGCGTCATGAGGATTCATTCAGGAGTGATTCTCCTGAAAAAAGTTATTTCTATATGTAGGACTCAAATTCGAGACCTCTGATTAATGATAAAATACTGCTATCAATGCACATAATTCATGTTGGCTCAGTATACCTACGTGGTTAGAAATAAGATGAAATTCATGTAATTTGTATAAGTGAACCATTTTAATTATTTTTTTGGACATCTTGTTTTCTAGTCGAGAAGGGACGTTACGATTGGATTATTTTTGTTTCTAATTCAATGTACAAAATAAGACTTTGTATACATTTAGCTACCATACAATCACAATGGGCCATGGACTCGGGAGTCAAAATCCAAGTTAGCTTGGGCGATAACTTCACGTAATCGATCTTAATTATTAACGCTCGATTAAACTTATAAACTGATCAAATCAAATTATCGATACAGGATGAAGACTATTGCTTACATTTACATCAGTATTTAGGGTTTGTTTGTAATATATACAAAAATAATAATAAACGTCGAATGAATACGTATAACTAATGCAATCATTAGTATCAGAGATTTTGAGATGATGGGTGTAGTGTTATATAAATATTGATCTATGAAATAAATTTGATTGGTTCAACATCTAGGTTTTTATTATTGAAAAGCGTTAAAATTATAAAATTATAGGTCTAAAATTAATTCTTATATATCTATTATCATTGAGAAAAAGTGCTATCTAATTTTAAAAAGAAAAATAAAACAAAATAAATATGAA